TTGGTGTATATTTAATATAATCCTAATCGCTATTTCAGTCTTTCTATCTTTCTAATTACTTCTCTCTCTGTTTTTCTCTCTGTCTATTTTCTCTTCACAAAAAAAAAAAAGCATAATGGTGTGGAGAGGATGGCTATAAGGGGAGAAGGGAGGCCATCCAAAAAAAAAAGAAAAAAAATAGCTCTCCGAGATGTGGGTTTTGTTGTGGTTTCTTTGTTGTTGTTGTTGTTGTTGTTGTTGTTGTTGTTGTTGTTGTTTTGGCCTGAAGCCGTCACATTTGACTGATGGAGCCTCTTGAGCCAGAAGTCAGAAAGACTCCGAGGAAGAGCCAAGAACCACCCCGATCTGAGATCTGAGGAGTAGACGTCACATGATCCTGTCTGAGTTTACAGTTCACACACACACCTCAGCACAGTGCTAGCTCACTTCAAGATGGCCGCCACAGCCAACCAACCCTACAAAAAACTAAACTCAGAATATTTGTTATAACTTGGTCAGTTTTAGAGTTAAAATCCAGTGTAGTAGTAGCTGAGAGTTATTCACAACACACACTCTGAATACTAAAAGATAATCCGAAACCACGAGATATTTTATGAGATTGTTCATCGTTTTAGTTGTTTTATTCTCAAGTTTTTACCAGAAGCTCTTCATTGTTTCTCAACTTAACCTGAATTAACAGTGTCATGGTCGAAAACTTAAAAATATCAGGAATCAATGTTAGTTTTAGCTTTTTGTGCCTTCTATTAGCCTTTTAATACAATTAGCTACTAGCAACAATTAGCTTTTAACTAACTTTTTGTTACATTTAACTTTAGGCTGACCTTTTGCACCTTTTAGCTTCCAGCTAAACTTTGTGTACATTAGGCTCTTAGCTAGCCTTGCGACATTTAACATTAAGCTTGCCATTTGCTCCTTTTATCTTGTGCCACGATAAGTTTTTAGCTGTTTTTTTACAATTGGCTTGTTGCTTTTTTTAACTTTCTGTTAGTCATTTGCTCCTGTTAGCCTTTAAAAAAATAATAATTGGATTAAATTGTTGGCTACATGAAGCTCTCTTAGCTAGACTTTTGCTCATTTTAAATTGAGCTGCAATCAGCTTTTAGCCAGCTTTTTTAAATTTATATCTTCTAGCTAGCCTTTTGCATCTTTTAGCTTTTAGCTGGCCTTTTGGTTCATTTAACTTCAGACTGGCTCCTTTTAGATTCTAGGTAACATTTGGTTACATTTAGCTTTTGGCTACAATAGGCTCAGTTTTTCCTACATTTAGCTTAAAGAGTAACTTACCCCAAAATTAAGCAGATTTTTATCAAGAATGTCTCTGTACATTTTTCCACTCATCCTTCCTTCAATTATTTGAAGTTTGCCAGTACCATATGCTGAAAAACAGCCCCACACCATGATGTTCCCACCTCCAAACTTCACTGTTGGTATGGTGATTTTGGGCTGATGTGCAGTGCCATTTGCCCTCCAAACATGTGGCCATGGCGGTTGAGTGCATTACTTATTGTTTTGGTAAATGGTAAATGGTACTGAATTTATAGAGCGCTTTTTAAGTCCCTCCGGACCCCAAAGCGCTTTACACTAACAG